TATATTTACCAAATCAGAAATGGGAGAGTCCAAATTATCAATATAATATAAATGTGATATATTTTGAAGGCCGGAATATTTGTTAATTTAAGTAACAACCAATCTCTCACATTCGACCAAAAACAATTCAGAAAAGGGGCAAGAGAAAATAAATGTTCCAACGATTCATCAGATAAATTACAAAAGGAACATGGTTCCACTTCAAATTTAAATCTTGAATTTAAAAAAAGTAGAAAACCGGGTAGATTTTATGAACAATTTTAAAATGAGTTTCTTTTGCTTTAGGGGAAATAGGCCATTTTATAAAATCAGATAGAGCTTTTTCCATTACAGATAAAGTGTCTAAATCGGTCACTTGAGGAAATAAGCCTCTGTTAAAATTGTGAAAAATGTGGGATTTCAGGAAGCATTATAGATTTGTTATTCTTAAGAGTATCGCCAATAATTTCCAAATTAGGTAAAACTGATACAACATTTGAGTACAGTAAAGTATTATGAATCATTCCAATAAGTGGTACAGGAATTGCTTTACAGATTTTGTTATAATCTTTAGCAGTACACGTTATATTGTATTTCGTTGAAAAGGCCAAAAAATCTAGCAGTTTACCATTGCAATCTAGTAAATCTCTAACAAACAAAATACCCCTCTCATGCCAATCACTCCTAAACAAGGATTTTCTGTTTATGATAATCACTCTATTGTTCCATAACGTAGATCCATGAGGAGAAAAATTGTGGGTAAATATCATCTTCCAATAATGAAGTATCTGCTTATGAAAATTTGACAATTTGGTCGGAATCTTATTAACCTCAAAATCACATTTTAAAAGAAAATCAAACCCTCCTAGACGTTTAAATATGGCCTTTGGAATATGGAACCACATGGATTCTGGCTGGGACAAAAAGGCTTTCAACCATTTTATTTTAATTGTTCCAATCATCGATTCAAAGTCTAAAGCTTTAATTCCGCCTTTATCATATTCTTTAACAAGCTGTGACTTTTTAATGTAGTGAGTTTTATTTCTCCACAAGAATTGGAAAATAATTGAGTTGGCTTTTTTTATATTAGCCGAAGAGACAAAACATGAGTGGCATGGATAAATAAGTTTAGATATACCTTCTGCTTTAGTAAGAAGAACTCTGCCAAAAATAGTAAGATCTCTAGTTAACCAACGACTGAGAGATTTCTTCATATCTGTGATACGGTTACAAATATTAAGATCTTCTCTCCTGATATAATTTTTAGATAATGTTATTCCCAAATATTTCACCTCAGGTACCACTCTAATAGAGTCAATAGTGGAATCATCACATGAATGGATAGGGAGTAATTCACATTTTGAAAGATTAAGAGATAACCCTGATGCTTTTGAAAAAAATTGAAATTGTGTTAAGAGTTTCCTTTACCATGGATTTATTCTTTAGGAAAATGGATGTGTCATCCGCAAATTGACTAATTTTTGAACTCTTTGTCAAAGAGGGTAATGCCTAATATTTTGTGATTCTTTATAATAAGCGTTGTTAATACTTGGGTGGTCAGAATAAATAATTTGGGGGAAATAGGACAACCCTGTCGAATACCACGTAAAACCTTAAACCTAGGGCTCATTCCAGGGTTCAAAGATACAGAACTATAAATGTCCGAGTAGAGCATCCTAATTATGTTGCAGAAATGTTCACCAAAACCCAGAAATGTCAGAGTTTCCATTAAAAAGGAATGTTCAACAGTATCAAAAGCCTTGTAAAAATCCAGAAATAGTACGAGACCTTCAGTATCAATAAACTCCTGGTAATCAAGCATATCCAATATCAGTCTGGTATGGTTATGAATACTTCTGCCCTTTATAAAGGCTGATTGACATTCATCTATTAGTTGATTCAGACCCGAGTTTAACCTGTTAGCATAAACATGTGCTAAAAGTTTGTAATCATTACATAACAGGGTAATAGGTCTCCAATTATCCAACAAAAGATTATTTTTATTTGGTTTTGGAATTAAGGTAATAAGGCCATGTTTCATGGTTGGCGAAAGGTTTCCTGCTGAAATGCAATCTGTGAACGCCTTATAAAGCATTTCTCGCACATCTGACCAAAAACATTTATAAAACTCTATGGTTAAACCATCCAGCCCTGGTGATTTGCCACCAGACATTTGCAGTAATGCACTATCTAATTCTTCAATTTTTAGTCCATCGTCCATATACTGTTTAAAAGAATAATCTATTGTCTTTTTGAATTCTGTAATTTTACTAAAAAAGTTATCACAATTTTCTTTAGAAAACTTTGAGTTATATAAATTGCTATAAAAAAGTCTAATTTCTTCATTTATCTGGTCTTGATTTTCAATAGTGACATCATTAATAATCAGTTTTTGGATTTTCTTTTTCACTTGTCTTTGCTTTTCAAGATTGAAGAAATAAGAAGTGTTTTTCTCTCCTTGCTCAATCCATCGGGCTCTCGAACGAATAAAAGCTCCCTTTGCTTTTTCCAAATACATGTTGTCTAATTGAGTTTGTAAATTGTTCAGTTGAATTTGCTCATCCAATGATAACTCAGCTTTAAGGCATAAATTATTAATTGCACTTGTCATCTCTTGTTGTTTTTGTTTCTTTAATCTAGAAGAGTATTTACAGGATTTTATCGCAATCTGTCTCACACTAAATTTAAACCATTCCCATTTACTGAGAGATGACATATCCAAAGCCAGAGTTTCTTTTATCAGTTGTTTGATCTCTCTACAAAAATCTGCATTCTCCAAAAGACTATTATTGAATTTCCATATAGGGTTAAGATTGGGACTGAAGTTGCATAGTAAAAAGGACAAAGAGATGACACAGTGATCCGTCAGAGGTGATGCTGAAATGTCACACTTTGAGACATTATTAGTTAAACTAGTAGAGATTAACCAATAATCGAGCCTAGAGCACTGACCATTGTTAGAAGAGTTAAACCAGGTATATTGTGATTTTGAGGGATTATTTATTCTCCAAACATCAGTTAAATTAAGTTTAGAGGCCAAGTGAATAATAGAATCATTAAAATTATGACATTGTCCCCTTAAAGGAAGACGATCTAACCACTCATCAGGAACTACATTAAAATCCCCTCCGATTATAATCTTATCAGTCATATAAAGTGCTTTCCATTCCTCTAATTTTTGGCACAAGATTGAAAGAAAATTATTGTTTTGAATCTTTCTGTTATACCCATAAACACACACCAGTATGTAATTAGACCCATTAACATCAGTCACAACCATTAGCCAATGACCGTTTGTATCACTCCTGTGGTCAATTATATTTCCAGGTAACCTGTTAAATAAAATCATCACTCCAGCCGAATGTGTTGTTCCATGGCTGAAAAAAATGTTGTCTCCCCATTGTACTTTCCAGAACTTAGTGTCTGCCTCTGCAGAATGAGTTTCTTGCAGAAAAACACAATTTGCTTTTTGTTCCTTACAAAAAAGAAAAATTGCCTTACGTTTCACATTGTTTTTTAGCCCCCTAGCATTTAAGGATATGAAAGATAACATTGAAAGAGCAAAGATAGAATCTTTAAGAAAATGCGCAAAGGAATGTTATATCGATGCGCAGGAGTGAGTAACGTAGCCCTTAACAAACATATTTAGTGCAATAGCTCACAACATTTTGAATATAACCTGAGACAAGTCCAATCAAACACTCAAACTGAGAACTTCAGCATACCTACTGAGGACAGAAAACCTGCTCCCTGTCCTTCCAGTTAATTACTGCGGTGTTTTTCACTTTATTCCGGGTCCACTCTTTTGTTGTCAATCAGCGCGAAGCCTTCCTTCAAAAAGGCTCTCTTCCCCTTTCTCCTGGCTTCTTGAACCAGTGGCCACAGCTTGGAGCGAGCCTCCCGGTCCTCCTTGGAGAAATCCTCTTTGAAACGAATGTGCATCTCGCTGCAGACTCTCGCATCTTTGGACTTTTTCCAGATCTCGTCACGAACAGTCCTCATCCCGAACTGAATGATGATTGACCGCGGTGTGTTGTTGGAAGTAGCTGCATTACCCTTCATACCCAGCCGATGGACAGTGTCCACTGAGTCACGCAGCTTCTCCACAGACAGCGGAACAACTCTTGTGAGTATCCCGATCACAGCTTCTCTTGTGTTTTCTCCTTCTTTTTCAGGCAGACCATTCATCCTCAGATTCCACCTCCGTTTGTAGCGGGCTTGCTCCTCGCCAGACTTACGTAGTAAAGTGTTATCTTTTAGAAGATCATCAAACTTTTTCTGAAGAGCAGAAATGTCTTTCTTATTTTCTTTAGCTGCTTCAGTGTTTGCTTCAATGCGTTTTTCAAACTTTCTTAACAGCTCTGTCTGTTCATCCATTTTTCCGGATAAGACTTGAATTGCCTGGAGAATGGTGCTGTTGCTATCCTCTGCCATTTGTGTTTCGCCGTGAACCTTCGATTTCTTTGGATTCGGTCCTTTAGTTGGTGTGTGGTCCCGATTTATTTTGTGTCCCTTAGAGTTGTCCGCTTCCATGTCCTCAATATCCGAGTCGTCACACGCCTCACGGAGAACTTTTAAGTTGTAATCGTGGTCGGTCATGCTAGCAGGCACTTTATGTCAAAAGTGTTGGTAACTGGAGAATTAAAGTAAAATGTGACTTTTTAAGCTTCTATAATAACTTAAAGTGTATCATGAATAAGCTATTGCCTGTCAGTTTTACAGTCAAGGACTAAAATCTAAACTTTTTCTACGAGCCTGCAACGTTGTTACTTCTCACTCCGCCATCTTCCCGCGGATCGTCCACGGCATAACACCTGTTGCCCAAACATTTAGGCAGGATCAGCAGCAGTTGTGACGTTACTGCCGATAAACACACTCTTTCCGGTAAAGCAAAACAGCAGATGTCCCTTAAACATTGGATTGGTCCTAGGTTTATGAATAAATACAAATACAGCGTTAATATCAAATACAAGTAATGAGGTGGATTGACTAAATAGATCGCCGTACAGCGCACATACCGATCAGGCTTTCCTATCGATGACGCCGAGAGGGGAGAGCTTCACGCTCTTTATGGCTGTGTTGACAGGCTGCACCTCCACTAGGCGAGGCAAAAGCAGGGCGAAGTATCAATACGCTGGCGAATTGCAGAACCTTTCCTGAAGCGAGCTTGCTACTGCAACATAGCCTACCTGCCCCGGTAGCGGAAGCAAACACGGCAAACACGCAAGTGGGGCGGGTCTGTGTACCAACAAACAAGAGACAGCCAGCTAGAAACCTCTGCCCTTTTATAGGGTGCCCCCTGGTGGTGATATGCTCACAACAAGGACAATATGCTTTAAAGGGGATTAGGACCCTCATCCTGCTACAGTATTTAAGTCATTGTTATCGTCAATACATTTAAGTTATTGTTTATATGTGTGAACATTTGACAAGTTATTCAAGTCAACTGGAGGCCACAATGAAATCATTTCCCTTTAACCCACACTGTCTGCCGTCAGCAGCATTAACCCAGGCTGTTAAACTCACCCATTCATTCAGTTAATGTTGCTTTGCTCCAGAACCCAGACACTCCTACATTCAGATGTGTCTAAAGTTCAACATTTCAGGCAAAAGACTGTATGTAAGAGAGAAAAAAAGTCTTACACAAGTATTTCTGTTCTGTTTTCCTTGTGTAAGGGGGATGGACCACCCAAAAAGGAAGTGAGTTTAGGAAAGGGGAGGGAGGGAGCTCATTAGACTCCTTTTGCTGTTGTGTTTCCACTTTATTCTCTGCATGCCTTCACTTTCTCTGGAAGGAGAGTTTTTCAGGTCACATCATATTAGTTAAAGGCCATCATGATTTTTAAAAAGCCAGCAAAACTTTTGTGCTTCTGTGCGAAAGATCTTGGTTTTCTTTTTGCGCTTTAAATGTTGGGCTGTTTTTTTTAAAGAAAATTCCAGAGGTAAATTGCTACCAGACACCAGTTCAACAAAAAACACAGAAAACCAAGAGTATTGCTGATGGCGTGCATGTGTGAGTCATGGCCTATGAGTGGAATAAGAAGGATGATCACATGAATCCAATTGAACAGTATTGTGTTGTTGAAGCCATAAACCACATGTGCCTGTCATCCAGCCTCTAAACACTCTAAGCTTTAGAATGTACATTTCTAACGAACAAACATTTTGATAAACATCCCTACAATACAAAATCGTCACCTTGATACTCAGCACGACACAAGTGCTCTACATTTAAGAGTAAATCATTTAGATTGCTGGAAATGACATTTGTATTAGTACCAACGATTGTGCGTGAAAAGTCTTTCACTGACTGTGATGATCCTAAAAACAGATTACTGACCATTTCTTGGTTAATGATTAAACGTTTGATAACACTAGATAGTTATAATATAGCTGACTCATTGTGTGCTCAGTCCCAAGGATAGCCATGTGACGAGTGAAGACATGCCACATATAACAAGGAGCAATGACTGTGCTGAAGTTGATCTACAACTCTGGTGCTAATGCATGACATTCTGTAATAATCAGCTATTGGCTTCAGATCAGTCCAAAGGTTTGCTGTGCATTACTGAAGCGCAGCTTATTCAAAGGGACTGTAGCTAAGGCTGGGAGAAGTTTTGTTCATGGAAAGGTCCACTGATGAACAAAACTTGGAGATGGTAGAACTGTTTAGAAGACAACAATTATGCAATTTTTATTGAGTAACATTTGAAAAACGATCATTAATCAATGCTAAATTGAGAGTTAATACATCTTAAGCTATGGTTATTTAACAAACAATGACATGATAATAAGGGTTTTTTCCTATGCAAACAGTCGGTTCAAAAGATGGGAGCAGTGCCATGTCGATAGGGTATACTAGTATCAGTGGCGGATCTAGACAATTTGACATGGGGTGGCAAAGGGGTGGCAAGAGGTTTTGGCAGGGGGGCGTGGGAGGATCGATGAATCCACCACACAAAACATTAAAACACAAATATACATTTAAACTATGTATTGTTATAGTATCACAAAAGGAACATGCCCAGTGATCAAACAAAACAAGACTGTGCACTAATCTACCCGCACAATTTTTCTCTGGTGTCGGAATGTCTCGCTATGTTAGTACATTCTTAAAAAACAAAACACCATTTAATTTCGGGTTAAAATGTGTTGTAACTGCGTTACTGAGCATTGTAACGCGTAATATATTACCCAAGTTTCATTAGTAATGCGTTACATTACTTCGTTACAGCAAAAAGTAATATATTACTGTAACTCTGTTACTTTTGTAATGCGTTACACCCAACACTGATTATTATGCATCATTTATTTCCCCTAATTGTTCCTGCGTGTTTCCCAAAACCAACACACACTTCTCAACTTCCAGGGAAAGATCACGAAAGCTGAAAAGAGGATTTCTTGTTCCATTACTAAGTCTTGCCATATTTCCCACCGCACATGATGTCAGTAAACATGCCTTCAGAAATGCAACCACAGCGCCACCTTGTGGTCACATGTTTTTAAAACCTCTAATGATCTGTGGTGCTGTATTCACACTTAATTCGATTAAACAGGCCTTCACACAGGCATATATCATGTTTTAAGTGTTCATTAAAGTGCAATGTCCGTGCCAAAAAAACGAATACATACATAAAATGTATTGTATTTTATTTTAAATACTATATGCATGCCTTTGTATCGAATAGTGTGTTATGTATTTGTTTCCTCTCTATCTATACTGCTGGAAAAATGAAAATGTGCCCTCTGTTGGACAGATAAAGGAATGGTATTGGTGTTTATATCCTATTATTGTTATTATTATAATTAATTATGTCGAAGACATTTAAATGGATTAAATAATATTTAGCAAAAGAACATTAAAATACAACAAAAAAACGAAGCAATTTAAAGTAAGACACATTTAAAAAATAAATAAAAACAACCGTCAAAAAATCTTTATGTGAGAAATTGCTGCTTTTCAATAATTGTCTTTATTTCCCCTAATTGTTCCTGCGTGTTTTCACCAAAACAACACACACTTCTCAACTTCCAGGGAAAGATCACAAAAGCTGAAAAGAGGATTTCTTGTTCCATTACTAAGTCTTGAATTGCCATATTTCCCACAGCGCAGGATGTCAGTAAACATGCCTTTAGAAATGCAACCACACACACACACACACACACACACACACACACACACACACACACACACACACACACACACACACAGAAAACACACACACACAGAAAACACACACACACAGAAAACACACACACACACACACAGAAAACACACACACACAGAAAACACACACACACACACACACACACACACACACACACACACACACACACACACACACACACGTCTTAAACACTCCACTATCGTTCCTGTCCCGAAAAAGACAATCATCACCTGCCCCAACGACTACCGCCCAGTAGCACTCACCTCCACCATAATGAAGTGCTTTGAGCGGTTAGTCAAATTATTCATCACCTCCTCCCTCCCTGAATCTCTGGACCCCCTGCAGTTTGCCCACAGAGCAAACAGGTCCACAGACGACGCCATAGCCCTCACCCTCCACACTGCCCTCTCACACCTGGACCCGAAGAACAGGAACACATATGTGAGAATGCTGTTCATTGACTACAGTTCAGCATTCAATACCATTGTGCCCTCCAAGCTGGCCATCAAGCTCAGAGAGCTCGGGCTCAACAGCGCCCTCTGTGACTGGATCCTGAACTTCTTGACGGGTAGACCCCAGGCAGTGCGGGTGGGAAACATCACATCCTCCACCCTGATCCTCAACACCGGAGCCCCTCAAGGCTGCGTGCTCAGCCCTCTCCTCTACTCCCTGTTCACCCACGACTGCGTGGCCACACACAGCTCCAACACCATCGTGAAGTTTGCTGATGACACGACCGTCATCGGCCAGATCACAGACGATGACGAGGCGGCGTACAGAGAGGAGGTCGAAAACCTGACATATTGGTGCCAGGATAACAACCTCCATCTCAACATCAGCAAATCAAAGGAGCTGATTGTGGACTACAGGAAGCAGCAGGGAGAGGGACACGCCCCCATCGCCATCAATGGGACTACGGTGGAGAGAGTCAAAAGCTTCAGGTTCCTTGGGGTCCACATCACTGAGGACCTGACATGGTCTCTTCACACCACCACCATCACCAAGAAAGCTCGACAGCGGCTCTTCTTCCTCCGAGGTTCAAAATGGATTCCAGGATACTCTGCAACTTCTACAGGTGCTCCATAGAGAGCATCCTGACCTTCTACAGGTGCACCGTAGAGAGGATCCTCACTGGCAGCATCACGGCCTGGTACGGCAGCTGCACCGCCCTCAATCGTAAGGCTTTACAGAGGGTGGTGAAAACTGCACAGCACATCACCAGGACGGAGCTGCCATCCATGGAGGACCTTTACTCCCAGCGGCTCAGGAAGAAATCACTACGGATTATCAAAGACCCCCATCACCCCAGCCACAAACTGTTCTTTCTGTTGCCGTCTGGCAGACGTTACCGCAGCATCCTGGCAAGGACAAGAAGATTCGGAGACAGTTTCTTCCCGCGGGCAGTGAGACTGTTAAAAAATGGAACTGTTGAAACAACTTCAAACATTCATCTGCTACTCAGTAGTATGTATCTAATACCTAATAAATATATATATATATATATCATTCCAATAACTTGTATATAGACTCTATTGCACTATTCCACATCATAACTTTATTTTATTTTATAACTATTATTCTTTTTGTATTGCTCTTGCTCTTATTGTTATTATGTTATTATGTTGCATTGTTGGAGAAGCCTGTGACATAAGATTTTCAACTACATAATTACTCTGTAGCTATGTCAGATTGACAATAAAGAACCTTGAACCTTGAACCTTGAAAGGGGAGTGATTAGTCAAATATGCATAAATAAAAAGAAAGAATGCAGACTAGGTAAAATACAGATAGGAGAGAGGAGGTGATCAAATATGTGTTATTGCTTGTGAGCATATTCTAATGGTTTTTTGATGATTGAAATATATACAGTTCTGTTTCATATGAGTGTTGAGAGCTGTATCCATACACCTCTTAATGTTGCCCTCAAAGTGCACCAGATTGATGCATTCAACTTCAATTTAAAGAAAAACAAATCTTCCAGGGGGTGCATGCCCCCGGACCCCCCAACAGGAGGTGAGGTCACCACAAATAAAACAGGTTCACATGGATAGGATACTAGATAAGTGTGCACACTCATTATATACACTACACATTCTTGGATTTGTTAACACTATAGTCCCTAATATATTTGTAGAAAGGCAGGAAATGGAATTAAATTGAGAAAATGTTTCATTGCGGAGGACCCCCTGTTTTGTGTCCCCCCCACTTCTCAAACCAAAGTTACACCCTTGCCCCTGCAGATGGTTGATCAGTGTGTAGCATGCTCCACCCTCAGACGCGCTGCCACCAGCCCCCTCAGACAGATCACTGCATCCGTCCATCCCACTCCAGCAACTTGGTTCTTTCTACTTTTCCAGATCGCTCATTTTGCATTAGCAAACAAGAAATGTATCAGTACTATAGTTTCCCTCTTTTTCAGGATGTATTTGGGGCCATGGACACAAAGTGGTATGGAGAAAACCTCCCCCAACCCTTCCACCCACTCCTGTAACATTTTTTTTAGACCAGCTAATCTGGGACAGGACACCACTAAATGCTCCAATGTTTCTGCTATAAAACAGAACGGACAGCGCCCCCTTGTGCCTGGGTCAAAATGAGCTCTGTATTTGTTAGTGGCTATTGCTCCATGTATGATTCTCCATTGGATGTCAGCCATCCGTTTCTCAACCGGAGATTTATACAGGATCCGCCAGCTGCCCTGAGGGGAAAAGCCCAAGCCAAACACATCTGTCCACCTCGACTCTCTGACGCCTGCGAGTGAGCTGAGGTTTAGCACCTTTACGCAGCTAAGGTATAGCTGCTTCCCATTGCAGGAGCTGAACGTTCCAGGTGTTAGAGTCCCCAGTGATAGCAGGAGACCATCCTCCTCTCTCCATTCCCCCACCGCAGGACCCACACTCAAGGCAGGAAAGACATACTCATGTCCCTTTCCCCACTGGTCAGCCAGATCTGCATCCAGAGCAAAAGTCCGGTGGGATGGCGACAGCGACTGCCACACCTCATCTACCAAGTTCTCCAGAACTCGGGTTGATCGAATGCCCGTCACCTCAGCCGGTGTTTCTGTGGAGATCCCTGTCAAAGGGCCAAGTTTTACCACTCCCGCTTCAATGAACGCGTTCTTTAGGGTGGCTGAAGAGAAAAGGGTTCCAGAAAGAAAACCAGTGTCAAAGAGTGGCTCCTCAAACAGCCACATCCCAGGCTGGGGGTCGGGTGGTCTGGTAAAACTCAGAATCTTCCAGGCATTGATGACTGAGCAGTAAAAAGGAAACACAGAAACAGGTGTTTATCCAAATCAAAGCCCCCTGCCCTCCAGAGCAACAGCCGGGCCATAGCCAGCCAGCAGGGAGAGGCACCATACAGCAGCCGCTGAGCTGCCTGCAGTCTAAAAGCAGCAGTCCTCGCAGTAATGTCCACAAGGCCCTGCCCCCCTCCGCCACAGGTAGGTACAGGACCGATGCAGGCACCCAGTGATGACCCGACCAGAAGAAATCCACGAGGAGCCGCTGCAGTTGTTTCATGAGGCCCGGCGGTGGGGTTAACACCTGGAGTCTGTGCCACAGAAGGGTCAACAGGTCATGGTGGTGGGCTGTTACAGACCCCCCTCAGCTGTCAAGGACTCCTTGTCTTCACTAGCAAATCTTTTATCTCAACTTGACTACAAGGAAATAGTGCTACTTGGTGATTTTAACTGGGACTGGTTAACTGCAGTATCAGAGGATTTTAAAAACCTTTGTATCTCTCTGAATGTTACTCAGATTGTTGACAGTCCTACTCGCCCTAACATTAAGTCCCCTAATAAATCCTCCCTAATTGATCTCATTAGTGCGAATGCTGTGCCACAGCATTCCACTATAGTACTTCAATTTCTTTATTCTTTCCGCTTAAAATTATTATTTCAGCCAATACTTTGGCTCTCCATAACTTCAGCTTACTTTCAGCTACAGAAACCATTCAAATATCAAACTATTCAGCCTGTTCAGGAATCGATGGGAAACCTTCAACTTTTTAAAAATATTTTATACTTTTTGAAATATTCAGCTTTTTAAACTCTTTTTTTTAACATTGAAGTCAATGGGAGATGCCTTCAAATCCTCTTTTCCTACACTTTGCGCCAAATGCTACTCCTTCCACATACTTTCAGCTAGACACTTCATTCCAACTTTCAAATGATCACAACAACTTCAGCTATTCAAACTTGACTTTTATTTTTGATATCTTTTACACTTCTTGAGATAATTAACTTTGTTTGGAGCTTGGTAAAGAGGCTTTCTTCAGATTTTAACACTAGTGTGGATGGAGCAGCTCGTTAAGTCTAGAGTGCTTTGATCTCAAAACAGAGTGCAGCAGTTCTTCAAATTCTCCCCCAAAAATGTTTTAAACTTGCCATAATTCCCAAACCCTACACTCCTCAGACATATTTTTTCATGAAAAACGTAGGAAAACCTCTCCTAGGTTGGAAAATGAAAAAAAATTAAGAAGAAATATTAAACAAAAGGCCTCTTGAGGGCATGAAGAGACAAAAAGTCCAGCTAGCTCCCAATTGATTCCCATGTTAAATCTTTCCGGAACTTTCTTCAGAACAGAGAGAAGTACACTTTAGACAAACTGCTCCCATCTCCACATTTTACACACAAAACCAAAAAAAACAACATATATCAGTTCATTGGGGTTCCCTGATGCTCACGGTCTGGTCATTTTTTGATAGGAGCCATAGTTTTTCAACAGGTGGCAAAATTGCAACCTGGTCTCACCAGAATGCGTGACTCCACCACGACTCCTTAACACCGCATTGCGTGGTGGAGTCACGAACTTTGCTACATTTACGTGTCTGCACCACGCAAACAACCCCAATGTAAAGTGAACTAGAAAATGCATTTCCTGCAGAAAATGCGTGCGAATGCTGTAAACTGTGAACATTTGTGGCTGAATTTAGCTGAAAATGCAGAAAAAGCTGAATGTTATTAGCTGAATGGTAGCTGCTTTTAGCTACAAAAATGGAGAAAAAGCTTAATATTTAAAAGAAAAGGTTTAAACAAACATGTATAGCCTTGATGTCCTGAAATAGCTGAATAATGTAATAATGGTTTCTGCAGCTGAAAATAGGCTGAAGGAGTTAAATATCAGATGTAAGTAGTAGTGAAGGAATTTGTATTAAGATGAGAAAAGAAAGTAAAAAGGCTTGGGAAAGCAGCAGAATATTTGAACTACAAACTTTTGAACTAACTTGATGGTGAATTATCTGTCGCCATGGCAACGGCATTTGATGACACCCCATAATACGCTTAGATGTGTTGATGGCTGCATCGTTACCAAACCTGTGAAGTTTTGGGCCATTTCGAGCATTTTCACTGAAGTTATGAGCAAACCGTGTTTCATGGTGAGCATTGTGTTGCCATGGCAACGACATTTGAAGAAATCTCAAAACTGTCCCGTAGATGTCTTCACGGCTGGACTGTTAGCACACATATGAAGTTTGAGCACTTTTTGAAAATGTTCATAGTAGTTATACATTACATTAGGAGGTTACATTACTCTCTCTCTTCTCTTGATCGCCCTCTCTCTTCTCTTGATCACCCTCTCAATCTTCTATCGCCCTCTCTCTCTTCTCTTGATCGCCCTCTCTCTCTTCTCTCTCTCTTCTCTTGCTCGTCCTCTCTCTCTTGATCGCCCTCTCTCTCCTCTTGATCGCCCTCTCTCTCTCCTCTTGATCGCCCTCTCTCTCTCCTCTTGATCGCCCTCTCTCTCTTCT